AGATGTTGCTTACCCTCTCTTTTAATTGCTTTCTCATCAAAGTAGAAAAACAAGCTCTATGGCCAGTTACATATTGTACTAAACTACCAATAATCTAACATTGGTTTTAATTTAATTTACTGAACCTTAAACCATGGTTTGCTATGTGAATCCAGCCACATTTGACTCACATAAATCACTAACCTATGGCTTCTCTACTCTCACTACATATTATTTTCTTTAATCTTACTTTATATTATTTCATGTTCATATTTTATTTCTGTGAAAATGTATGGACTCGCAAGACCAGCAAAAAAGATCTGTGGACCATATGCAGCTCTGAGGATTCAGGTTGCCCAGCCATGCAATTAAAAATACCATAAATTATCTTATTTAAATCAAATAAGACTTTTTAAATCTTAAAATAACCATCTTACCTGTGTTCCTAATATAATAATGTATAGATATAAGAAATGCTTTTAAATATTTATATTATAGATGTAAAAATACAGATTTAGAACTTCCACATGAATCAATTCCACAAGCATGAAACTAACTGAAGTCCTCTGCTGAACTAGTAATAGCAGCATTAATAATAGTATGGTATTTGGATGTCCACTGATTTACAAAAGTTCAGTAGCCTCACCTTCCCAAATAGAACAGCATAAGAACAGAATGCACTTGGATAAAATTATACTTAGGGACACAGTATTACTTACACATCATTTTTTGTATTCACCTAGGTTTTTCATCTATTACAACTATTTCACCTATTATCCCAGGATTAGGTCCTATTCGTCTTAAACCTGAGATATTAGATATGAGGCTAGCAATCCTGCAAAATGTGATTTGAACAATTATGGGCATATTTACATTTAATGAAAATATCATTACTTGCTTTTATTTTGATCCCTTTTAATACAAATCTCACAATAATCAAATATAACTTCAAGCAAAACATCCAACTTACTATGAACTTATTGTTGGCCTGCAGTATTCCAAGGGCAATACCATGTAGTAAAGGATAAATTATAGCAACAAAAAGAAAAAAAAATATAGCAAAAGATACAGGTAATCCTCGACTTACAATTCATTTAGTGACGTTCAAAGTTACATTGAACGGCATTGAAAAAAGTGACTTATGACCATTTTTCACTTATGAATGTTGGTCTATCTTCATGGTTATGTGATCAGAATTAACATGCTTGGCAACTGACTCATATTTATGACAGTGGCATAAATATGTCACTTTTGGAACCCTCTGGATCCATTTTGGAACCTTCTGACAAGCAAAGTAGATGGAGAAACCAAATTCATTTAACAACTACATTACTAACAACTGCAGTGATACATTTAACAACTGTGGCAAGGTAGGTTGTAAAATGGGGCAAAACCCACTTAACAAATATCTTGCTTAGCAACATAAATTTTGGCTCAAAATGTGGCCATAAATTAAGGACTATCTGTACTACATTTCATATTATAACAGCAGGAGGAGGAGGAGGGACAATTGGTAGAATTCTCAATATCAACTAACAACATACAAAGAAAAACAAGGTTTTTTAAAAAAAATCACAGAAAAAGTTATTTCCTAATGATAAATTGTAGGTAGTATAGTGTTAATTTTGGTAATAGTATTGAGTATTATTATGTATTATTATAGAAATGGTTACAAATCAGATGTTAATACTTAAAAATAATTGTCAGTAATTCAATGACATCTTTTTGCAATGTTCTATTTTAATCCACAAATAGCAAAATAATATATGACTTTGTTCACATAGTAGACTTCCCTATAAGTGAAAAAATAATTTAGAATATTTCAATTAACAGATTCTCAGCAACATAAAAGGGACTGTGGGTTATAGTGATGGCTCAGTTCTAAAAAAAACCCTCTGTATAAGCCTCTGTTACTATGAATTAGGCTGCATTAACATTTCTAAATGCATTACTGGCGCTAAATTTACCATAATGTGATCAAAAGTAGGAATTACCAACTATAACTAGGCAAAATATATTTAAATAATGCAAATAGTCGTTGAAATAGTTAGGAAACCCTATAACTTTACCGTAACCATCAATTTCAGTTGAAAATGGGCAACATAGCCTAGTGTGCTTAAATCTATCTCCCAATAGCCCTAATTTGTCCAAAAGTAAGAGACAATGTGAAATGCAGGTAGAGGTACATCATCATCCCTAAATTTAGCACTCTACAATATCACCAATATTTAGGGTGCTAAAATTTCTCAATATGGACTAAACAAAGCAGTAGTACAGGTTTATTACCTTGATAATCTGAGATTAAAGCAATTTAGATAGCAACCTCTATTTTATATATATTAAAAGGGAACATAAAATCTTTTATGAAGACTGAAGGGATATCTAACAGTTTTTATTAAAACAAACATAGTGCTTCTTTTAATGCTAACATCAGATTCTCTCTCTCTCTTATTTCAAAGAAACATTTTACTGATCTTTAATTTTCTTCAATCTCCTGCAAATATCTTTTAACATCACATTCAAAAGTTATACAACAGATTCAAGATACTGAGATCTAAAGAAAAAAAAATCTAATAGGCTTTAACCAATTTACATAATAGTTGCAACCAATCTCAATATAGGTTGATTTCTTAAAGTGAACCCCCAGGTTTTCATCCTAATGGCTACTTATATAACCATTGTCACAAATTTACTGAAACTATTTACAACAATATCAACAAGCAAATTTTCCCAATATCCTGACTTTGTAAAAAAGAAATACCTATTTTTGCTTGCCTTTACACCACTGCTATGTAAATCTTCAGATCTCTACAACACTTAAATCGATGTACAGGCATAACAGTGCTTGTAAGGCATATTGAAAAAACACTGCAAATAAAAACCACAGGTTTATGCTTACTCACAACAGAAAAACTAATTGACTAACAAAATCTTTCTGGCACAGATATATTTGGTTGCTTTCGGCTCTTTTTGTATCAAAGGGTTTTCACAGACCAGTAGAAAATCCAGCTCCTATAGGTTCACCATCTTTTGACTGAATCAGAGTAGCAATTTGGTCTTATATCCATCATGATAGAGTTTTTTTCTAATACTAAACCCCCTTATTTTTTCATTATTTCCCCTCCTCCCTCTCCAGCACTCAAGCTAAGGACTATGCTAACAGAACCCTATAGGATAAGATTGACAAAACAGAAGGCAGAAAGGGTAGAGAGAGAAGAGCGAGTGTTTGCAGGTCTAGTACCCGGGCCTTGCCACTCCAGAGCAACTCAGGATAGCTGAACTCCACGCAGCTCTCCTCCGTGGGATCTTTCAAGATCAACTCAAAGCGAACCGTCTGATCCAGTGGTGGCGGCGGCGGCGATTCCTGTCGGTTGTTCTCTTGATTTAGCTGCTGCTGCTGAGACGAGAGCGGCGGTGCTTCTGGCCTTGGGGACTCTCGGTGGGGTGGCGGCTGAGGTGGCTTTGGTGTCAGCTCAGGCCGACTGATCTCCCGCGGCAATGACACAGGATGAGACTCTGGCCGAGGACAAGATTCAAAGGGTTGCGATGGCGGCTCTACCCGACTGTTCTCATAGGGGTGGTGGTGGCGGTGGTCCTGCTGATCTGGTAGTTTCAGGCCCTCACGCGCTAATGGCTGCTCTGTCTCGCGGCCCCCTCCAGTCTCTCGCTCTAGCACCGGAGACTCACCTTCTCGTCGCCTCACGGGTGACAGACTAATGAACGGCACCCGACGCGGCTCCGCCATCATCCACCCCCCACCCCCCTTCCCACCTGTTCGGTGACCCAACCTCGCCACCCACAACCCCACCTCCTCCTCCGCTCGTTCCCTCCCCCTTAACCAGGTCAGAGTACCTCCCCTCTTCCCCACTAGCCTCTCCTTGCCGATAACATCGCTGCCATCTTGGAGCCCCCCCACGTAAATAGATGCAGGCTACTAGGGCACGCATGCGCAAAGGCAGAACCCTCCACGGACGCGCTGCTAAACGTCATTATTGTTCTCGATTAAGAGGGTTTTTTTTAGTACGTCACCGCGATCGCACGTTGAAGACGACATGGCCCCGCCCACAGTTGCCTTGGAAATGCGTACGCCGTACAATCGTAAGACTTTTAAAAAGCCTTCGCGAAGAGTTTTGAATGAGCACTTTTCTTTGCTATTGGTGGCTCCGGGCAAGAGTTAACTTCCTCAGAAACGCGGCGCTAATGCGGCAGCTACCAAGCGTGATCATTCCTGTTCATATATTATTATTATTTTTCTAGTTTACAACAAATGAAGATGGTCCTAAAAACCATTTAGTACCTGAAAAAGCTGTGAGCATTCTATCCTTGGTGTATGGTTTTCTTCCTATTTAATACTAATTTCCTTTTAACATAACTCTTCCTTTTAAGAGCCAAGGTGGCGCAGTGGTTAAATGCAGCACTGCAGGCTACTGCTAGATCAGCAGGTCAGCGGTTCAAATCTCACCGGCTCAGGGTTGACTCAGCCTTCCATCCTTCCGAGGTGGGTAAAATGAGGACCCAGATTGTTGGGGGCAATATGCTGACTCTCTGTAAACCGCTTAGAAGAGGCCTGAAAGGCCTATGAAGCGGTATATAAGTCTACTGCTATTGCTATGCCATGAACTAATTACGAAACAGCGTCTTTCATTATTTGTTTTTAAGGATCAATTCAAAGAAACTGACCATCCTAAAAAGTGTTTCTTGTTTAGTACATTTGAGCTGGATACAGTACAAAAAATTTCAAATGCTAAGACAAAGCAGAAGCTATATCTAGCTCTTTTTTCCTTTTGATATCTAATTTCAGAGACAAAGTTTTAAGGCATAAAGCTTGGTTTAACTATGTAGAATCTATCCAATTATACCAAGTAATACATATAATTGATTTATTTTTGCAATGTATATGCTGCTTAATTACAAAATGGCCTGGAGTGATTTAATACAAAAAAGAAAAGGAATTTCAAAAAATAACCAAACCCCAAACATAGTTATATGGCATATACAAAGAACAAAAAATAATTCACAGGTGATTTTATAAATGAATTTATTTTGGAATTTTGCTCCAGAATTAAAAGCAGGAGAGACTGAAAAAATTGTAATGAACATACAGCATTAACTTATATTATTTACATACAACATGTACAAGTAGATAAGCACATTTTCTATCATGGATTTCCAATGTTCATTTCAATGTGTTCAATGTGCATTTTCCTTAGGCATTACATATATTCTGAAACCAACTCTTAACTTTCCCAGTATACTAAAAAATACCTTTCATCATAGAATGATATGTTTACAGTCCTAATTTAATCAGAAAGAAAAAATAGAAACAAATGAAGGTATGAACAATATTTTTTATGCAAATGAAAGTGGATTGTTATCTATTTATTTACAATACTTCTCCTTATGTCCATTAGATCATAACAATGAAAACTACCTAATCAGGTCATCATTTTCTTTTTGTGCTCCATTTTAAGTGTTTAGCTTTAGATTCTTTATGAGGAACTTTTATAACCAAAATCTGAAATCTAATTCTAGAGCTTTTTATATTCTGTTTCAAAATAAGACCTGGGAAAATCTGTATTTTGCAAGTTCTTGAACTGTCTCAAAAAAGTACTGATTGTCACACAATGAAAGCATTTTAAGATCGAAGCTAATATGTACAGTTAGAGGTCAGTAATAGTGTAATAAAATAAAATTTGGAGAAGTATAAAAGAGTGAAAATTTTCCACACAATACATGACATTGCATAGTTTTCATAAGACATTTAAATATATATAAAAATAAATAGATTTGTATTTTTATAATTGTTCTGGTACAAAATGACACAGTATTCCAGCCGGGCACAATATAGCTGAAAGACGACCATTTGCTTGATCACACTGTTTAAACAGGAACTCTATTCTCCTTGGCCCACTTCTTTATTATACGTACAATGTACTCTACCTGTGGGTTGCCTGTACTTCTCAGGAGATGCAGTACTTCCCTTAGAGTATCTCTAAAAGCAAAGAAATAAATATTTTTTTAAAAAAAGAGAAAGAATAGATCGGACAGTATTATGAACTTCTAAGTATATTATATCTGAAAAGTTTTGGAGTATATTTTTCAGTTCTGTTGCTAGAAACTAAATTTCTCTGACTTCACATAATGGATAAAAGAAAATTTCATATAGGAATCAGAGAAAGTGATATATCACATTTGATAGGAACTAGAAATCCAAAATTCAGCCCCATAAATTAGTATGTATTCAATAGGAGTAAGTGGCTATCCATGATGCTGATTTGATTTCTCTGATCTTCACCCTACAGTATATTGATGCCTAAATGTAAAATTTCTTCCTCTGCTCTGCATTCTAAACATTTTCAATTTTAGAATACAGAACAGAGAGAAAAAAATTTTATATTAAAAGCGTCAATAAAAGATTTAGTTCTGTCAAATGAGATATATTTATTGTGATTAATACTGCGATAATAAAGTAGAATTCAATTTAATTACTTTTTGGTTAGCACACTGAGAAAAACCCTACATCCAGCCATCTTGGAGCATGAAGTAGGAAAATGGAGGAACTAATGATTAAAAATTATATCGATTTGCATTTTAGTTACATATTGGTCAACTGGGAAATTAAAAAAAATAATCCCAAAGAAGGTAAAGGAAACAACATGGGTGTATAATTGTAGTCACTGAGAGATAAAATTGTCCAGATGAAAACTCATTGATAAACTTTAGGGATGATCCAGGTTCACCATTTAAGGATCATCCAGGATCCTTTTTATTTGTAGATGCACATTTATTTGATATCCCACCTTTTGTAGGAGCCCAAGGCAGCATACATATCTAAGAGCCGAGGTGGCGCAGTGGTTAGGGTGCAGTACTGCAGGCCACTTCAGCTGACTGTTATCTGCAGTTCAGCGGTTCTAATCTCACCGGCTCAGGGTTGACTCAGCCTTCCATCCTTCCGAAGTGGATGAAATGAGGACCCAGACTGTG